GTCGGGGGCCGCGGCGCTAACTGCAGGAGAGCTGGCCAGGCGCCCCCCGGGACTCTAGGGACCCCCTGTGTGCGCTGTCAGGTGGCGCTCCACGCCGCGGCCTCGCCGGGCTTTCCCGCTTCCTCCCGAGTGCGCAGGGGAAAGCCCGGGCCTCCGGGGTCGCCGCCGCCGGGCCGAGGGCGCGGGAGAGGGAGCCTCTGCGGGGAAGAGCGGGCTTTCCTCGGGTGCGCTTTCCGCACCCCGGGGGCGTCGGGAGTGATGAGGGGGCAGGAGGCTGTCAGAGGCTGAGGGGTGGGGGGACCCCGATTATGTGACAACAGACACCTCCCCGTTACCGTCGAGTTTATACGGGGCCCCCAGCGCCTTCCGCCGCCCATCCCCGGCCCGCGCCCCGCGCCGCGCGTTTGGAGTCGGCCGCGGGGAGCCCCGCGCACACCCTTCCCAGGCTGCAGCTCTTGGGTTGGAAGAGGGTGGCGCTCCCGGGGCGCCCGTCGGGGCTGCGGAGCCCGAGGGGTGGCTGAGGTTTGAAGAGTTTAGTGTATTTTTTCTATGCGGGAAAAGCTGCCTCCCGGAGGGCGCGGGCGTTCCGTCTGGGCTGCTTTGTCTTTGGGAAAATACATCGTTGCCGGCGACGCGGGAAAGGAAGGGGGAGGGGGCGTCCTCGGGCGAATAGTTATAGATCAGCGCGTGTCCCCATTTGGCTACGAGGATGACCGATTTCAATAAAGCAGATGAGGTTACTTTTTGACACTTCAAATAATAGACGGCAGTTCCAGAGCCGCGGGCACGCGGGCGACCCACGGGAGCTGTGGGCCTGGCGGGCTCGCCGCCGCGGAGCCCTGGGAACCCAGGCCGGCCTGGAACTGCGCCTCCGGCCTTGTTTTTTCACTGAGCGCCAAGGGGACCCTGGGCTCCGAGGGCCGCCAGGGCGCGGGGGGCGCCCTGAGGGGCGCGGGGCTCCGGCTGGGCTCCGCGCTGTACTGATTTCTTTTATTCCCCTGCCCAGGTTTAGGAGACGCGTGGGGACAGCCCAGCCGCGCGGGGCCCCTGGACAGTGTCGCCAAGGAGCTCGGATCGCACTTGCTGCAGGTAGGGCGCGGCGCGGGGGGAGGGGGTCTTGGCTGCCGACAGCCCTGTTGTTCTGACCCCCGCACCCAGTCTGGAGGTTCCCTCTCCAGAGAGTAAGCACCCAGAGGATCCCTAGGCAGCCACCAGGCTGCGGACATCGCCCCAAGGGGAGAGGCGGTGCTGGGACCTGGGGCGAGCGGTTTCCCCAGCCGCCAAGGCCTGCCCCAGGGCTGGGACCCTGTGGACTCAGCTCAGGGGGACACCCCCGGCCAGTCCCAGGCCTATCCCCGCACCTTGCCATCCCTTGGTCCCAGGTACCCCGGCCCTTAAGACCTAGGCCGTGGGGCCCCCTTGGGAGTGGTGAAGTCCTTTCCAACCTTAACTTCCCCCAGCAAACTTTTTTGGAGCACGTGCTCTGTGCCCGACGCTGTGCCAGGCGCTGGAGCCAGAGAAGGAAGGATCAGGGCACTCTGAGCCACAGTCCAGAGCCTGTAACAATCGTGGGTCTGGAAGAGTTGCAATAAAGGAGAGACGGCGTCACTAATAGAATATTAACAGCTGGCATTTATTGAGAGTTTACTCCGGGCCAGATTCTGTTCTAAATCTCACTGTATCATCTGGCTTCACCACCCACCTAAGACGGGTTCTGTTCTTAACCCCATTTCATTAGAAGAGGAAACTGAGGCACAGAGAGGTTAAGCAACATGCCTGAGGTCACACAGCAAGTGGTGGAGCCGGGTTCAATCCAAACGGTCCAGCGCCTGAGCCCTCAGCTCGGGACGCGGTGCGGCCTCCGGAGTCGCGGGGCTCACGGAGGGAGGGAGCCCTTGCTTGGTTTGTGGTCAGCCACTGAGCGCCCCCAGCCCGGAGCCGTTCAGTCCTCAGCGGTCAAACAGCCCCTGACCTCGGGTTTCCTCCGCAGCGCCCGGGTAGCCGAGCGCACCACCGGCGCGTTCCAGAGCCAGTTCCAAGTCGGTGGCTGGCGCTAGGTGGGGGCAGCAATGCCTCGTGTTTCAGAGTCTTTCAAATGCCCTTTACAGAGCCTTATCAACGACCCGATTCATTCCCCCCTCCGTCATTTGTCTCTGCCACGGAAAAATGCCTACCGAGAGCTATTTTGCATTTCCTTCTATTCTGTGTTTTCTTTTTAAAAGAAAAAAAAAAAAAGGAACGTTGGCGGCCAAACGCAGTGACTTGGGTCAGAGTCAGCCACGAGCTCCGCATTTCGAAAAAGCAGATATTTTTAAAAACGCTTTTGCCCCGAATGTCCTAGTGTGATTTATTTTTTTAAATGTGTGCTTTGGGGAAGAGCAGATCCGGGGAATATTTGAAACCTGAAGCTTTTACAACACAAAGCGAACCGTGTGGCAGCCCGGCGGGCACTGGAGCTCTTGGAGCCCTTCCCGCGGGGCCCTGCGCCCCGCCAGGCTCACCTCCAGCTCCCAGCGCGGTATTTTGCATGTTAGATATTTCTACATATTACAAGTGACACTAATATCAGGGACAACTAAGTGCAGGGGAACTCCAGTAAAAACCTGGCGGCAAAGCCAACATCCTCAGGCTCCCCCACCGTACATTTCTTTAATTAATCCCGCCGTGGCTTGTGGATGAGTGCCTTCGCAGTTAATACCCGTGCAAGCAAAAATTGAAGCTATGGAGGCATACCCAACATTTTCCATAAAGGATATTATTTTTAGCTACTGCTGGCAACTCTCAGAATTTGATTATGATAATTTTTCTTTTACTCATGTGGCTCACTGTCAGAGACTATTTCATTAATGTATCTCTTTAAGGATTTTGGAGTTAAGCAAGAATGCAGAATGTGCCAAAATGTTTATAGCTTTAGAGACTGCTGTGCGGTTTATGTTTTTGCAACAGAGTTTAGCTGGGAAAATATTTTGTAGCTGAGTTAGAAACGTGAAAGCAAGGCTTCTAATCAAGATGTTGATCTCCACCTCGGCAGAGAGGAGGGTAATGATAGTTTAGTTGGCAGAGAAATTTTGCAGCAAAAACTCTGTTTGAGAGAGTAGAACGTAAGGGCATCTTTCGAGTTTCGTTTCTGCTAAATTCTTTTTAGGCCCCCCTCCAAAGAGGGGGCAGATTTAGAAAAACCAAAGGTAATCTGGTTTCAATTACATGCTGTAAAAATAGAATTTGTGGCCAGAAATTAATTTGGAATATTTTTTATGGGGGCAGCATTGTGGGTTGTATGGATCTTTCACCAATTTTATTGCTTTTCTTTGGTCCTGGATCTAAAATATGAATGGGTAAATAAAATGCAGTTTCCTTTTTCAAAAATAATTTAGTCTTCTTGTCCTTGCCGCACATAAGTATATTCAGTACCTTTCTACTTGTCTTAATTACCTCTTATAATTTTACTTTATTTTTTTGAGGGCTAGCCAACTTCAGCAAAGTCAGAATATCATGTAGGTAGTTTTAATTTTTCAGAAATGGATACTTTTTCTCATTGAAGTTTGCAAAGGTTATTTGAAATAATTAATTCTGTAGACATAGTCTGTTCAAATAACCCGGTATTTTCTTTTCTGGGGAGTGGTAGTGTTCGGAATTTATTATTCAAATGGTACTTAGGGGTAACTAGAAAATTGTGGCAAATAAAGCACATGTCCTAGTGGTATAAACACTGCCAATTATGACATAAAATGGTCTATATAGTGGTAGAGTGTCCCCTAAGTACCTTAGAACTCCGGATTTGTGCTAAGTGCTAAAATAACCCCAAACAATAAAGCTACTACATTTAAACCGGGTATGATAGGAATTCTCGAATGTTTGGCGTGATTTTTGCGATGTGCATGTGAGACTGTTTTTACAGCGCTTTAAAAGCATTTGAAAGCCTGGTGCGGGAACTAAACCCTGAGTGGTGTAACTTACGACCCTCACGGAGGTGCCGGGCTCTGTTTTTTTGCATTTGACAAATGCGTGTTGGTGACAATATTTTATACAATCCTCCGTCCCAGGGAGAGTACAATTATTAGATTTAACTCTAATGTACAACTATCATCTCTTACCCCAGCCGTTTTTTTCTTTTCCAGACTTTGGATGGATTTGTGTTTGTGGTGGCATCTGACGGCAAAATCATGTATATATCGGAAACAGCCTCCGTGCACTTAGGCTTGTCCCAGGTAGGTGGCCCCTGCTTTTCCGTGCAGCCTAAACATTCAAGCGTTGGGGGACCCTGGCAGCCTTACCCAGCTTGAACGTCAGCGTGTTCAAGCATCTGCTTTTGGGAATGAGCATAATCCAAAATTGCAAGATCTTCGTCTTAGGCCGTCCCGCGGGGCTCTTCCTCCCCGTGTTCTGTTTCGCTTCTCTACTTTCTTTTTCCTTTGGGGTTAATGGCCAGCCTGTCTTTGCAACAGGCAGCCTCGGCCTTGTTCGGGAGCCCGGGCTCCGCTCGCACAGCCGGGCTCTCTGTCACTAGCAAGAGCTTCACAAAGGGGGACTTGCCGTCCGCACTCCGTGGCCTGCACGTGGTCTTGTGAGTTGCTGTGAAAGGGAGAGGAGAGCTGATGGGGAGCGTGGGTTTTATGCGGACTGTGCTTTGGGGAGAGAGAAAGGGGGGGTAGATTTATGAGTGTTCACATGGAATTCAGGGTAATTTTTCCTGAGTTTTTCCAGTTCAGTGGTCGTTTCAGTAAAGCATTTTATATGCTTGTGATAGAAACTCATAAAACTCAGTTTACTACTGTTTTGCACAGCAAGGTCCTGGTTTCTTTAGGACATTTAAATATTACTGATTTTTCTGGAACCATTTTTTAAAAAGGGGTTCATCCCCTAGAGGAAAGAATTGCACTCAGCTTTATGTATCCTGGTCGAGCCAGGGTTTGCTGGAGAATTTGGCTGCAGTCTGGGCCGGTGCCGGTGGGTCCGAATGGGATGGGGGGGACGCTATGATTGTTGCCATTCACATTTCTGATTTAGCAGGTGTGGAACATGGTTCTAAAAGCCGCATTTTATTTTTCTTTTTACATATATAGGGACTAAATGTTTCTTTACATTGTGAATTATCGGAGCTCTGTTTCATCACACTAGAATTAATTAGATACAGGAAATGGGCTCCCAGGAGGCCCGTGAATAGTCTGTATGCACCAGCCCCCTTGTGTAGTCGAGCCAAAAAAAAAAAGCATGCCAACTAATGGGGCTTGGATTTTCTCATTGAAAAACAAAATTACCGGTTTGGAAATCTGCATCTGGTGTATTCCTTTTCTCTTTCTGCCCATACATTTTTTTTAAACCTGTCGTTTGTTTACAACCTTCTGTTCCAATGTGTGTCTATCCGGATCCCCTGTGCCTATGTGTTTTTTATGCCAAATTCTTTAAAGTGGATCTCATATTAAAATTGTTTGCTGGAAACCAGGCCTCCCAGGTAAGATTTACCAAGGCTTGGCTCTTAGACCATGTGACTCGTGAGAGCAGTGTACTTGTAGAATGGAAGATACTGTTGGGAACATGAAATGTACTATTTTTTATATTTTGCAAAGTTTTTATTCTCTGAATTTTCACCTTGCCCTATTTAGAATTATTTAAGACCCTTTAGTTGTGCCCAGTGTGGTTTCTACTCCGGACTTGGTTTGTGGCTGATTGACCTCGATCAGATTACTTAACTTTTTCAGTCATGATTTATAAAACCTTCGATTAGTCTTATAATAATGTCACAAACAAGACAAAACATTTCACATACTTTAAAAATGACGGGTCAAACATATTTTAGAATAGGTAAAGTTATTGTTACGGAATATTTTATTAAACTTAGATCTGAGCTTCCTAGCAGTCAAAGCAAAAAGGGAAATGCATTCAATTATGTGGTGTTTGTTGTCTGATAGGGCAGGTATTTAACCCTCCTGAACAATAACTTAAGAAAATAATTCCTGGTCTACCCCTTTCGGAATTGTGGTAAGAAACAAATCAAAGTGCCCATTGTATGTGATTTATAAACCATGAGGAGCTACACAAAAGCCAGACATTATCACCATTTCATTAGTATTATACTTCAGATAGCACAAAAGTTGCTTCGGGTAGCATCTGTGCTGCGGTGGGCACACACAGGGCTCTTACTCGTCTGGAATGTCCCGCACACGGCGAGGCCTGTGCACAGACCACACTCCAGCTCACTCGGTCAGGCTGCTCGATCTAGCATCCCACCGCCCTCTCTCAGTCATCTTTCTCTTCCGTTAAAAATGACCCAGACATTGGGGAGGTGACAAATAGGCCTCCTGTTCACGATAACCTTCACAAAAGGACATCTCAGCAGAATCACAGTTAAAATTACATTTATTTTGGTCATAATGCAGAAACAAAATTTTGTATTATCATTTTGAAAGGGGAGGGAACGCTTTATACACTATCATTTCCCAATGAAGTTACAGAGATGCCTTTTGTCTCTGTTTCCAGAAGTGCCAATTAAATAAGAAGATACATCAAACTGTGCTGGACAGCTGATTTTTTTTTTCCTGACCTCTTGTCAGGACTGTCTTAGTATCAGTCTTCAGTTACAAAAACACTGTAAGGCAGAAGTGAGCCTAGCGGCTGGGGAGTGTTCTGGTGACTGTTTGAACAAGCAACAACAAACATTTCCCCTCAAGCTCCCTCCTGCTCACGATTAGCTCTGCAGAAGGAAATCTAGGCAGAATCACGATGTGTATTTTTTTCTGTCGTCTTCACTTAAATAGTAAAATAAAGTATTGGAGAGGATGTTAAATACTCAACTTTTCTTTAAAAAAAAAACAAACCCTTTGCCTTTAGATTACTTTGTTAGTAGGGAAAAGTCAGGCAAATGTATCAGGCATGAAAACTTTATTAAAATGGGCTTAACAGTTTTTTAAAAATCACCAGAGATAAAAACGTTAATGAAATTTTACCCAGGAGTCTAAGACTAACCTTTAAACGGGTTTCCTGATGAATAGCTTCTATTTACATAGTGCTCTTCTACATCCCGGGAACTTTCAGTGACTCTCGATGACATTATCTCATTAAGTAATGACATCTTTCACATTAATTCAGGGTTCAACTCCATGTTAGCAGCCCCTAGGGACCAGAAGCCCCTTCCTTGGTTTGCCATAACTGTGGGATAATTCATAGCAAACTGGTGGGTGTTTTTTTTCCCCACCTGAAATACCTAAATAGCTATCAGAATGATCTGCTTGCGGGTGTAAACAGGATTGTGTTACAAGCCCATCTCGATTCAAAGCCTTTTATCAAACGTCTTAAAAAGTTTGGAATAAGAAATCTACTTTATACGGAGAGCTGTCGAGTTTGTTTTTACTTTTAAATGAGCGGACACAGCGATCCTTGCTGTGGAACCTTCATACCGAAAACGACAGGGACAACGCAAAACGCGAGGTCGCCCCTCGGCCCGCGGCCCGTCGCGCGCTGGGAAATAGGCTGCGGGCCTGAACGTTCTGTGGGGCCGATGCCCACGGGTAACGCGTGATAATCAGAGAGACAAACGAATCTCCTTGGGAGAGGTAGAGTTGGGGAAGCACATTTTACTCGTGCCAGTTTACTAAATGGTTTAATTCCGTGGTGTTTTGGTTACTGTAATTAACTTACTTATATTTGAAGGAGGCAGAAAGCTCTGTATTCCTGCTGTGTATTGCCTCCAACATTTTAAAGCATCCATGTGGTTTAAATTTCCTCACCGAAGTTGCACACATTGTATAGCATCGAGGTAACGAATACCCATTTTCCAATAAGTATCGACGTGTATGAAACAGCCGTTCCCGAGACACGGAAAGGAAAGGGAATACTTGAGATCGCAGCCGGAAGCACAGCCGTAAAAATAGCCCTGGCGTTGTTTGGGGCCATAAGACCTAATCCTTTCACTTTTGAAATAAAGAGAAAGGACAGCGTTTTATGTTTGTTGACATAACTTGAACCCTGAAACCCAAACCATCTTATTTTTAAATGCTTAATTTACCATAGTCAGCAAAACCCCCAGAGCAGGGCAGCGAGCGTTTTCCGAGTACGGGGAGACTTTCCCCTTCTGACCCAGAATATATCCATTTAGTGCTGTATTTATCCCGGGCAGTTTTCTTGGCAGGAAGAGAAGCTATTCAGCAAAACATAAAAAAGCTCTTAGTAGGAAAGCAATTCATTTTGTAGTTACCGGGGTTTTACCAATGCTAAGACATCCCACGGAGGGTCTGTTTCAATAAGACTGATGTAGGAGACCTGGAGAGTTTTATGGCGACGACCATAATTTTTTTTTTTTTGAGGTGGTCACATTTCCTCCAGCGTTCAAAAGCACGACTACATATGTAAATACAGGAAACACCACGTCAACCGTAATTCTGAGTCAAGGTCAGCACTGTTTTATCATTCCAAAATGTGTTCTTTAAAAACATTTCCGTTATTTGAAGACTGCTCTACTTCCTCGACTGCCTCCAGCTCTGTACCTGCCCCGAGTGGGCAGAACGTCCAGCCTGTCACTCGTGGGCCTTCACTCTCCCGGCTCTGCAAAGGCCAAGGGCGAGAGTGGAAGCCACTTTGGGGTTAAACCGCCAGTGAAGCCTGTGACACAGACGCGGGTCTCCGTGCAAATACACCGAGCTGTTTCTCTAAAAGGACTCCAGTTACTTTTTTCTAAATAAGAACTTGGAGCAAACCAGGATGATCATTTTTTCCCCCCCCAAAAACGAAATGAGAGGCCAACACACAAAAAAGTCTGTTTTGTGGTGTGTGTGTTTTTAATTTTTAAAATAAGCCACGAGAATTGGTAATCAATTAAAAACACACAACTCCCCTATTTACTAACCTTTACCACTGTCCACCTGACACGCTCTCGCTGCCCTCAGGAAAAGAGAGTGTCCCGTCCCAAATGGCTGGCTTAAATGTCCCGGGTCTGTTTAAATGTAGGATTAACAGGAATGACTGAAAGAATGTTTTGTTTTTATTACTTTTTCTTTTTTTAATGACATCACGTAATAACTTTATGTGGAGGCAAACAGCCATCCGTTGGGGTCAGTAGGAAAGTGCCAGGTGGGGAGGTGGGTAGGAGGACTTCTGTCTGTAACAGGATTCGCTCCGTCTGCACAATATTGGAAGGAGACATTCTGTGAATAATGCAGAAAATAGAACTGTGAACGCTGCCAGTTCAGGGACAAGGTCACCTAGCAGGCCAGCAATGTCATTTGTTCTAGATAAAAAGGCAACTCACATTTCTGAACAAACTGAAGGCCTGGCTGGGAGGAGAGGGATACGTGACTTCACCTCTCCACGGCCCCTGGTCCCAGTGAAGAGCCGATGGCCTCGAGGCTAACTTGGAATGGTGGAGAAATTCTCCATTAAACCCTTTGGCTGGGGTTGCCCCGTTGCAGGAGATCACGTCCCCTCTGCTCTGACTGAGAGCAGTGAGGCTCCCAACAAAACACTCAGAGATAAATGCCAACGGGGTGGCCAGGGACACGCACTGGCCAGACTGCCTTACCCGGCTTCCCTCTCCCCCCGGAGCGGGCGCAGAAAGTTCTGCAGACCCACCCGAGGGCCTTTGCCACCCTAGGCCGGTGTCCCACGCACTTTTTCTTCCCACACTGGGCTTTTGGGGCTCCCCCTGGCTGTGGTGGAAATACCATCAGCGTCCTGGGAGGTCCCCCCTCGTCCATACTGGGTGCGGACTCACTGTCGTAATCTCCAAAATAGGACCCCCCACCTCTGCTGAGAGGGCTGCTCCGACGGCGGTCGTTTCTAGAGTATTGTACACCCGTCTCAAGATGGGTGAGGGGGACCAGGTCTTGAGACTCTGTCATTCCCTTTCATGGCACTTGTGTTCGGAGAACATAGAAAACTTTTCAGGGTTCAGAACTCAGTCAGTGGGACCTCTGCGGAAAGATCGTCACGACGGTGTTTTCCACAAACCAGGATGTGGGCCTCTAGGTGTCTGTCCTCTGCGGGGTGTGTCTGGAAGTAGGTGGTGTCTGAACCCAGGGTCACATAGCTCTCTGGGGCGGGCCGCCCAGCCACACCCGTGGGCAGGAGCCACGGGGTCAGCACAGTCATCGTGGGCTAGGAAGGCCGGAGACAGGTTTCCCTGGCAGCCAGGAGAAAGGGCCTTTGTGGGGTTCAAGTCCTTCTCAAGTGCACTGGGGCCCGTGGCCCCTGCCTCTCGGCCTCTGAGTGGACCAGGCTCTACGGGGACCTCACCCTGGACACGCAGCGGGCCCACGGCCGACCAGTCTCCTCAGGCAGCGGGGAGCGCAGACCCCAGCCTGTTTGAAGTTGTCTCCTGAATGGAGGATGCTGCTCAGACCATTAGGGTCACCCGCCTCCATGACACGCCTTTGTCATCCGTCACCTTCCAGCCCCCTCCCCGCTCAGGACTCTCTCAGCTTTCAGCCCAAACCTCCCTGTCCGTTTTGGAAAGTGTGGGAGACGGTTTGGAAAAGACAAGTGTTTCCGCGCTGGGAAAAGACGTGGGTGGTCAGCGGAGGTCAAAGCCCCTTCCCGGGCAGGCGTACCTGTGGTACACACCCGTCCCCGTCCCCCGCAGCCCTGGGCAGGATTTCTGACCCCCCCCTCGCTTCTGCGGCAGGTGGAGCTCACGGGCAACAGCATTTATGAGTACATCCACCCTTCCGACCACGATGAGATGACGGCTGTCCTCGCGGCCCACCAGCCTCTTCCCCACCACCTGCTCCAAGGTATTTATTTCCTCCAGACGAAAAGAAGCCGGGATGAAAGACAGGCGATGCTCTTGCCTGTGACCCCAGGGTTTCGCTCCCCACGCTGCCAGCCAGGGCCTCCAGCAGGCACGCCGCACCCACCAAGTGCGCTTAGCGTTTTTGCCTCTGTCTCTCGTGCCGCCATCCTTTGATGCCTCGATCAGAGCAGCACTACTGACCCCCATCAGGTGTAGACGCGGTGCTGGGTGCTGGCTGGCAGATAAAGCAAGTGGTCCGAGGCTTCGGCCTGATGTGCTCTTGGGTTAGAGTTCTGGCCACACCTGGGCTTGTTAGCCAGAGGGTCCAAGGACAGAACTTGAGTTTGTGGAACTGAATGGGGAAAATTGCATTTTATTCCTCTAGTTGAAATTTAGCATTTCCTGTGCTTCAAGACTGTAGACAGTGAGCCATGTACTGTCACGAGTTCCTTCGAAATTTCGGGAGTTTCAACGCCCTGCAACTGGGCCTTGTTATTTAATGTGTTAATAAAGTAGCATATTTGCAAGTGTTTCACCACTTGTTTTAACAGTATCACTAATGTTTTCAATACATCCATTTGTAACCCATCTATTTCGTTTCATGTGCTTAAAGATGTTATTCTGCGTGGGGATAGGTAGGTCTTGTGACGGCACAAATCCATTCAGAAGCCCTGGTTTAGGCCGAGGCAGGTCCCTCTCGCTGGCCTGGTTCCATCTGGGGACACGATTCTCCTCCTGACGGCCCCACCCCATCATTTCACCCGTATTGACTGGGTCCCTACTGGGGCACTGTGTTAGCACAGCCATGGCGTGACTGCTCAGTGAGGATGGGAGCACGTGGTTACATAGGTGACCCCTTGAATGCCACGTGTGCTTGGAAGACACAGGAGAACCTGTTCCAGGGGCCCGGTCTTGTAACTCCCCCCGACAGTCCAATGAGACCGACCAGCACGCTGACCAAGCGGCTCTCGCCTGCTTTGACCGTGGCTTCCCAGCTTGGTCGCAATTCCCCAGTGGGATGCAAGAGTCTGAAGAAGCCACTTCTCATAGAATGAGGGCCGGGAGCGAGCATCGCACTCCAAACTAAGTCTTTCTCGGCGGGGTGTTTAAAGCTGGACAGAGACACGGAAGCCTTAGAGAATTTCTCAGAATCTTGTTTTTGTTCCAAAAAATTAGCCTCCACTGCCTGGGAGTGGGCTTTCTCCACCAGCCCTGGTTTCATCTCCCTCCCATGGCACAGCTTTTGAAAACTGGGTAGAAATGACAGCAAATGAACCTTGGGGACATCACAAGCCCCCCCCCCCCGATTCC